AGCAGCTTCGGTCCCCTCTGGTGATGCAGCGTCTGAAAGCAGCTGTGGGACCTTCCTGTTGTTTACCGAGTTGGATACATGGGTATCAGAGCACAGCTGGGAGAAACGAAGCAAAAGAACTTAGCTCGGTTGGTCTCCTTGTGACCACCATCATCGTGGCAGAGGGTGTTGTGGAAACTCAACAAAGCAGCTCAAGCAGCAGGTCTAGGAGCCCCAAGGAGTTGGTTACCTGCCGTGAGTCTGACCGTCCTGCTTGGCCGGCCAGGAGCTGGGGAGAGCCAGTTTCCACTTTGGGTCCAAGCACCATAAGCTTAAGTTAAAGTGAAAAAAGGGAAAGATTTGCAGACTGTTCTACTTTTCTGAGTCTATGCAAGTCTGTGATACTAAAAGAACTGTGACAAGTGTTCCCTGACTTTCTAAATGAGAATTCTATCTGTTGATGATACTGAAAAGCAATACTTGCTATCTTGTAAAATACAGATTGGTGTAAACTAGACAAAGCTAAAAGAGACAGGACCCAGAGGAAAGAATTGCTGGGATATTGTTTCCAAGATACATTCGTTTTGATTCCACACACTTGAGAGAGGTGGCATTTCTCTAGGGCGTTTGAAGGAAGAGGTGTTGTGTTCCTAGGGAACAGTGTGGGAGAAGGCCTGCTAGGCCTGAGTTGTGGTATCATTAGCGAAATGGAGAGTTGTTACTGAGTTTTGTTCTTTGTACACTTGTTTAGATACAGAGATGTGCACCATCATCAAAGCTGCGTGAGGATGGTTAATATCAAATGTACAAAGCTGAATTTTCTTTCAAGGTTTAATGTAGATCAAACCATGCTAAAATAAATCCACGATGGGGAAAGGTCAGTGATTTTAATGAAAATACATTAAATCTCAGCGAAAGCTTCAGATGCTGGATTTTTTTCGCATCTTTAGAGTAGAGAGTACTGCTGTGAAGCCTTAAGTGAGAAGTTCCACAGAATATAATAGTACGTAGGTGGGGGGTAGAAAGTTTAATCTTCAGACCACATAAATGCAGAGCAGTGTGTGCTTATAGTAGAAGTAACTTCCTTCTTGAGCCTGCTTTCTCCGCATTTGAATGACTGGAAACCATAATTAGTTGTAATTTTGTTTGTTCCAAAGATGGAAATCATTAGCATAAAAAAAAAGATCACAACCATATATACCAGCACAGTAATCTGGAGAACATTCTTGCTCACTTTGAAAAGGCACCAGCTAGAGTCTGTAAGCAATCCAGCATACATCCATGACCTTTAATGTACAAAAGATTAAAGCATGTTTAGACAAGAACAGAAAATGTTCAAATTTTGAGAAAGGGCTTTATCCACATGCCGGTGGTAAATGATGCTCGTTGTTCATGTGTGATTCTGGCCTCGTCTGAACTGCAGTTGGGAAAACAAGTTCTTTTCAGTGCAGGGTTCAAAATGGAACCAAAACCATAGGAGTGTCTGTGGATCCCAGCACTTCAGTCTGGTTCCTACATTCAAAGCTCATTTGAAAGAGGCTCTGGTTTCCTCAGAGTCTGTCCGGCTCCACCCACCGCTCGCAGCTAGTCCTATAATAACAAATCTCTGTAAACATGCTAAAGGTGATTTTTAATTTTTTTTTAAAATTTTTTTTTGGGAAAAAAAAATTTGGGTCTCTAGTTTATTTCTGTTTATTTCTGATAATTTTTTAAAAGGTTGAGATTTGACAGTATCCACCTAAGCTTGTGTTTTAAAAGTAGGATCTATATCACAACTTGTTGCCATGGAAATGCCAGAAATACCCTTACTGAAAGGGGCTGGCATTCAGTAGTGCTTATGTGTGCCTGAGACGACAGGATCATGGACTACTATAAAAGCAACAGGGGAAAAAAGGGTACATAAGAATCCCACGGTCAATATTATTAATATTAGATACTCCTCTCTGAGCCAGTCATTTCCAGAAGCAGGAGTGCTGCACAAAGTGCCGTTTTCCATGGGACTTTTACTTTACCCTTACTTGCTGGACTTTAATTAGCTATCTTCTGCTCAGCATTTGCAAACCAGAAACATCTGCCTTCAGCAGACTGTGAGCTCAGGGCAGCAGACTGTGAGCTCAGGGATGTGCCCAGGTGAACAGGCTTTGGGAAGTGTGGGCAAAGCAGGCATCCTGCGCTGGTAGGTTGAAACTGTGATTTCACTTGGCCATTGAAGATGTTTTCTGTCTCCTTTTGGAAAAAATACGTTGGATGCATTCCCTAGGGAGATGCGTGTGGAGGTATTGCTAGTGGTATCCCAAGTTTTGGCTGATTTCAAACCTGAAAGGCGCTGAGTATCCTTGTTTCGTGATGGAGAAAATGGACAGAAGGTCAATGAGTATTTGAACTAGCTCCTACAAACAGGACTCCCAGATGAGTAAGTTCTGATAACTGCTTTGTGTAGTATTCCATAGTACCTGTTGTTGGCCTTTATGAGAGACAAAATACTGAAAAGCCAGACGACGGCTCTGCTGCAGCAGCTCACTTTATGTATTTTTGCTCTGTGGTCACTGTGTGATGATCCACTGATAGGTAAAGCTGCCACATAATTTTTAATATTTGAGGTTATCCCTTCGGAGAACTGATCCTCTAAGGGATGTTTTGAAACTTACAATCCAAACAAAACCCATCTTTAAATAAGATTTCAGATAAAATCCTGCCCTAAGACAACAGGTGAGAATGCATATGGGAAAGAGAACTTTCTCGAAGGCTCAAGCCTTTGGTGTAGCTCAGCAGACTCTTACATTGCATCTGGTGATACGAATCTACAAGGTCTATGTATGCATAATATAGAGAGGGAAGGTGGGGAGCATCTATAAATATTAATATTCCTCTAAATGCTTGTTTTTATGTAGACAGGCTTGCAGGGACAGTGCCACGTCTTGTAGGTGTCAAGTGCTGTATAATTTGCCTTGTTCCTTCTTTTTCTCCCCAATACAAAGCTATTAAAAAGAAAAAAAAAGAAAAAGCTTGCAGCTCCGTCCCTGGGACTGGCTCAGTAACACAGGAGGCAGTGTTCAGCGGCAGCCCTGCAGTGAAGAAACAAATATGCACATGTAACAGAGAATACCAGATTTCACTCAGGAAACCAACTTTCACTTTGAGCTTTCAAGCAGCTAGTGTAAATAGCAGACGACTTGGCTTTTGAAAAATGCAAAAAAGCTCTGGACTGGCCCCTTCAAATGACAATAAGCAAATTAATTACAAAAATTTGGACTCTTTTACTTAAGCAAATAAGGAACTCCATTTAAATCCCAGGAGCTGCACTGTAGCAAACGGATGTGAGGTCAAAACCAAACTTCTCCCCCTGCCCTCCCTTGGCCCGCACATGCTGCCTTTAGCTTTTCCTGGATGATGATTTGTATAAGCCCATTGTGGAAAGCAGTTGCTGGGGTAATCTGTTATGCCCTAATTTCATGCTAATTGGCAAGGTCACATTTGGCTGACTGAATGGCTTTGAAGCTACTGCCTTGTTTAAAAAACAGCGGAGGGTGGGCCCTCGCAAAGCCATGTGTGCACACACTGGTGTGTGCCTGTCCAGCTTGGGAGATCTCCAGAGCCCAGCAGGACCTACTGTGGGTTTTCAGAGATGTGTGAAAAGGAGTTGTTTAAAGCAAGGTTAAGTCCTTTGAACTTAAATACCTTGATCTTTTTCACCTGTGTTTTAACTGGTCTAGCTGACCAGTCCCAAGGGCAGCCCTGAGCATTCCCACCTGGGGAGGCTGCCCAGCCCCAGATGGTTGGTGGAGTTGCCTGTCTGCAGGAGCTGGATTGCTGTTTCTTTGTAGTACGGTAGGATGCAGAGCCCTGCTTCCATTCCCTGTTGTGGGAAGAGGAGAGATGGTCTTGTGAACTAGTAACTGGGTAAAGGCTATGGAAAAATGGGGGGAGTAAGAGCTGTCAGCTTGGAAGCAGTTTGGGTGGGATCCTAGGGGGTTGGAGGTAGGACTTCCCTGGTCATGAGGGTTGGGTGAGGCAGGGGAATAGGCTGTTTGCTGACAGTAAAGCTGACTGAGAACGTGAGGAGGTGCCAGTGTTGCTGGGTGTGAAGCTTGCTCTCTTTTAACCCCCTTTCAAACAAGAAGGATCTTTTGGTACTGAATCAGAGGATGATTCAGCAGTGAAACCTCAGGCTGGGAAATGCCCGAGTGGGGGGGGGGGGGGGAGCGCTGTGGCTGCACGTGCAGAGGGCTGTCAGAGGAGCTGTGCTGGAGCTGCCGTGCTGCTCGCCGAGATGTCTGTCAGAAGAGCAGCGGAGAGGACAGTCCTTTGCAGGAGGATTTCAGTCTGTGTTCTGGGTACAGCATGCAGGGACACATGAACTCTTAAAGGTGGCACAACCTTGGGTGCAAAGCTGTACCTCTGGGACATCTGAACAAAGGTTTCAGAGCTGCTTCAGTTCTTGAAAACACCTTTGCTAGGCTGATCCATCATGTAATTATTCTCTTGTAAGGAGTACAATGGCCTCTCAGCTCCTTGGGGAGCCCAGCTGGTGGGCTGTGGCAGAGGGCGAGCAGTGTGAGGTTTGCTGTCCTCAGCTCCTGCCGCCCTAAACAAACTCACCCCGGCAGCTCAGGGAGAAGCATGGGTGTTGCTGCGGCCATCTGCCCGGAGCCATTCCCGTGCCCTGGGCGGCTCCACGTTCCCACAGATCTCTGCAAATGCAGAGAGAAAGCAGCTGGGCTGCTGGGGAGCAACCTCTCTGTGTCCCCCGCTGCCCTCAAAGGCAGCTTGACATTGTTTATAAAACCAGACTCCCGTGGTGCTTGTGGGGGGACGCTGGGATGTTGGCTCGGGTCTGCCCCTTCCTCGAGCGGATTCAAACCCCAGCCTGCCTTAGGCAAGTTCGCTTGGAGCGGGGTAGCCAGTCCCGTCCTACTGAAGCAAAAAGCAGATTTTCTCCTGATTTTGAAGGAAGAGCCATTTACTTCCAGAGAGCAGCACTTGCTGCTTCACTCAACCGCCCCTTTTCCCTTGCGTTGTAGCATCACCGGCATTCCCATGGTGACAGACCGTGACGTCACCGGCGTGGGCAGTAGCACCCGGGACAGTGATTTCATTGTGCCTCTGAAGTTAGGCAGGGCTGGAGCTGGGTCAGGAGAGCTC